AATTTTCATGTAATCAATTCTTTTGATTCTTTTATAGTTTCTGCCTCTGGTCATGCCTAGAAAAGCCTTCCCCACACTGAAAATCAGATCAATAATTTTTATTCTCTACTATTTTCAAATGCTTCTTAATGGTTTTGCTTTTCACATTGAAGGTTAGACCCATTTGGAATTTGTTTAGATGAGTGTATAAGGCTAAATTTACATGGTAATTTTTTTCCCCCAGATGATAAGCCAGTTTCCCCATCACCTTTGGAATGACTGTCCAGGCCGCACACTATATTCTCATTTATTTATTTGGGTCTCTTTCTCGATTGTCTAGCTTCTTCCATTGCTTTGCCTATCCTGTGCTTGTACCTTCCTATTTCAGTTATTGTGAATTTATAATATATTTAATATTTTGTATGACAAGTCCTGCTTCATTGCTTTTTTCCTGACTCTTCAAAGTTTTCTCAGATGGTAGCCTCCATAATTTCCTTTGTCACTTGCTTCTAGTAGAGAATGGATACTGTTGACACCTAGGGGTAGTAATGAGTATGTCCCCTCATCTCACATACTCAGGGTGAAAGAACTCCAGCCTAGACACGACCCATTTCTTGCCTTGGGTCTGATTTGGTTTAAATCAGTAATGAAGCCGATGGAAAGGAGAGCAGGTCTGCCATAGACGGTAGTTTGGGGGATGGGAAACAGCATCTTGGAAAATATGGCTGGAAGTTCAGGTTATTTAAACTCAAAAATGTGGCGAAGAGCCAGCCTGATGAAGTCCAGGCTTTCACATTCGAGAGAAAAGGCAGACTGTTTTTAAGGTGGGGAAGGCCTTGAGCAGGCAGCGCAGAAAGCAGTCTAGAAGTCACGTGTTGATTGAATCAACTGCATGGTAGTGGCACATTTAGAATGGCAAGAATGATGCTGGGACTGAAAAGGGGCAGCGTGGTACAGAACAAGCAGGCGATGGCCTTCCTGCCCCTGCTGTGGGCCCGCCTTCTCCAAGCTGGGCGAGCACTTTGTTCTGCTGTTCCTGGGGTGGGTGAGAAACCTGGTGGTTTAAAAAGGTTAGCCAAGAGCGCTTCCCTGGTGGCGCAGTGGTTGAGAGCCCGCCTGCCGAAGCAGAGGACACGGGTTCGTGCCCCGGCCTGGGAAGATCCTGCGTGGCACGGAGCGGCTGGGCCCGTGAGCCATGGCCATTGAGCCTGCGCGTCCGGAGCCTGTGCTCCGCAGCGGGAGAGGCCACAACAGTGAGAGGCCCGCGTACCGCAAAAAAAAAAAATTAAATAAATAAATAAAATAAAAGGTTAGCCAAGAGATTAGAGGACCTAGAATGATTAATCTCAGAGAAGAGCAAACAGAGGAATAACGAGCTTAAGGAGAGTTCTCACACGGAAAAGAGTAAACAGTTAATCTCCCTCTGGGCTGAAAACAGGAAATGTGGGGAAGAAACCACTTACTTTACTGTGATGACAAAACATCATGAATGAAAGGGCATTTCATTGATAGCCTGAAGGGCTGAGTGCAGAGATACAGTAAGTCCCCTACATATGAACCTTCAAGTTGTGAGCTTTCAAGGATGAGAACGTGCATTCGCATGTCCAATCACGTAAGTTAGTTCACGTGTCTGGCGTACATTGTCATATGCGTGAATCCTCTGCAAGTGGTTGTGCTTTTGCGTACTTTACTGTACAGAACTGTATAGAGTACAGTAGTACGGTATCTTTATTTCAAGCCCAGGATGACCAGAGGCAAGTGTAAAAGCCGCGGTGATGTAGCTGGTACTGCTAAGAAGCGCCAGGAATCGGAGGCCCAGAGAAAGAATGAAGAGAGACAAGAGGAAGAAAAAGTAACTGAAGAACTGAAGAGATTCACGATGCAGGAAATGGCAAGGGGATTTCCTTTATGTGAGGAGGCACTGTTAGTTTTTGAGGCACAGCACCTGCACGTAGAATGGTACACTAAGGTTGCAACAGCCGTTCAGGATGCAATCCAGTGCTACCATGTCATCTATGATGAAAAAAAAGAGCTACTACCCAGATATCACTGGATCGTTTTTTCAAGAGGGTAGATAGAATTGAATCCAGCAAGGAACCAGAACCTGTGTCATCAGCGTCAGGCATGAGTGAAACTACGGCTTGCCGTCCGTCTCCTGTTGCTGACGATCCTTCAGCTCTACCATCTCCCACCCCCTCTCCCTCCTCCAGTCAGTAACTCTTCTTGCCTGTTCACTCGATGCCAGCCTCTGGATGCCAGCTGTTGTACTGTACTACTGTACTTTTCAAGGTACTGTACTGTAAGATTAAAAATGTTTTCTTTATTTTTGGTTTGTTTGTTTTTTATGTATTATTTGTGTGAAAAGTATTATAAACCTATTACAGTACAGTACTATATAGCCGATTGTGTTAGCTGGGTACCTAGGCTAACTTTGTCGGACTTACGAACAAATTGGACTTACAGACTCACTCTTGGAACGGAACTTGTTTGTATGCAGGGGACTTACTGTACTCAAATGCTCACATTTCCCTGGGGAACCTGGTAGGGGCTTTTTAAACTGCATTTTCCCCTCTCCCCATTACCGCTGCAGGGAGCTGGTCGTGTCTTCCTCAGGAGTGTCAGTTATGGAGTCTCTTACTGGACACCTCTTGGAAACAGCATAGACCTTCAACACCATAGTGTGAGGTCTTAACTGTAGGTGGGGGATTGTTCCCTAACAAACCCACGGATTTATGGAAAACAATTTGTGTGGCGTTTCTGGGTGACTTTGGAAGAAATTCTAGACTTAGCACTGTTTAATAAGAACTATAGGGGACTCTCACTCGTCCACCTGGTTTTAGATGCCTGGGTTTCCCGGTGGTCGCCCTAGGCCCTCATCTCTTCTCAGACGCATTTATACCTTCCCCCATGGGCAGCCGTAGCCTCTTCTATTGATGACTGACTCCATATCACCATCACAGTTTGCTCCTAAGCTCTAGACCCGCATTTCTAACTGCCTGCTGGACGATTTCACAAGCACTTCAAACTTAACAGGTCTAGAAGTGAGCTGCGTCTGAACCTTCCCTGCAGACCTTGATGAATGACATCACCACTGACTCAGTGGCCAAAACCAAAGCCCAGATTCCTTCCCCTTCCTTATCTTCCACCACCTTCTGTTCCGTCTCTGCCCTACGTGTCTTCTCCATCTGCCCTCTCTTCTCCCTTCCGAGTGCCATCACTCGCTTCAGACCTCAGGCACTTCTTACCTAGATTTTGGAGAACCTGTGCTTTTGCTCTTTTCCAATTCATCCTCCAACAGGCAGTCCAGATTGTATTTCTAAAATACACATCTGCTAAGAATCGTTAGATGGCTTTTCATTATTTCTAGGACCTCAGATCTGACCTATACTAACATGTCTCACTTTATTGCCCACTTCTACCCAGCTGGGACTCAACCTTTTGGACACACTGAACTCCCGCAGTTCTGTCTCTGCCCTCACTCTCTGTCACCCCCTGCCCCTGCGTATGTCTGTTTCTGTATTTGATGGGCTCACCCCCCTGCCCTTGGTGTTCTTCCTCTGCACTCCCACCACCCTCTTGTGGAACTTTATCGTAGTTCCAAGCACTGCCTGTTTATAAGACTTTCTCCACTATTAGACTCTGAGCTCCTGGAAAGCAGAAACCATGTCTTCCATAGCTGTTTCTCCCAGCCTCACATAGAGGTGCATAGAGGTGGCTAATAAATATTTGTTGAAAGGCAGTGTATGAATAACATATTCAGTAGAGCTTTAAAAATTATCTAGGAAGGTCTAAGTTTTTATTTATTATAATTTGAATTGAGAATTTCCACCCCAAAGCTATTTTCTCATTGGGTAAATAGAGTCTTGAGTGTCTATTTTGGCCTCTTAGTACTAATTTCACTGTGGCAGGATTCAGATGAATTTCAGGGGAGGGGGTGTTCATATTTTATTCTTTCTCTTTCTTCCTCCCTCCCTTTATAAATCTCATCCTCTTGATAGCACTGTGGAGAAGATTAAATGAGATGAGGCATATATAGGACACATCTGTATATGTGTTGTGTGCCCAACACATGTAAGCTGTGTTACTCACAAAGCAGAGTGGCAGCTGGTACATTTATACCATGAATATAACTCCCAGTTAGATGCTAGAACGCTGGTGTCAGCTGATCAACCAACATTCTCCTGCCTGTGGAATATCTATTTGGGAAATCTGGTTGCTGGGGAGAGCAAGATAAGGACAGACAGCTGTGTGATTATAAAGGACCTAGAAGTCTAGGGAATTCCCCAGTGGTCCAGCGGTTAGGACTCTGTGCTTTCACTGCCGAGGGCACAGGTTCGATCCCTGGTGGGGGAACTAAGATCCCACAAGCTGCACGGCACAGCCAAAAAATATATATATAATAATAATAATAATAATAATAATAAGTAAACTGTTCCTAAAGGATCTAGAAGTCTGATAAGCTGGTCTCTCCACCAAATAAGAACCTATTTACCAAGTTAATTGAAATGCCCACAGCATCCACCATCTGTCAGTGCTGGGGCATCATTTTTCTTTAATTGTAATAAAATATGTACAACATAAAATGTACCATTTTAATTATTTTTCAGGACACAATTTATTGGCATTAAGTGCATTCACAATGTTGTAAACCATCACCATTATCTATTCCTAAAATGTTGTCGTCACCCCAGGCAGAAACTCTGTTGACCATTAAGCAATAACTCCCCATTTCCTACACACCCCCTCAACCCTTGGCAACCTCTAATCTATTTCTGTCTCTATGGATTTACCTGTTCCAGATATTTCATGTAAGTGGAATCACGCAGTAGTTGTCCTTCTGTGTCTGGCTTATTTCATTTAGCCTTATGTGTTCAAGATTCATCCGTGTCGGAGCATGTGTCTGAATTTGCTCATCTCTTCTTACATGAAAACTTTCCTCTTGATGCCCCATGAGGACCACTTTTTTCATGCTTCTGCTTGTTCTGATCATACCCCCTTTCTTCTTTTCAACATGTTTTCAGAGCCTCCCCTTCCGGAAGTAGACTTTTTCACTGTGCACGGAGGGCCTTTACCACGCCTGAGACTGAAGAAAGCCAAGGAGAAAAATGGACCCATCAGGTCAGTAGAGGCCTCTTTTCCGTGGCTGCCCAGTGATCTCCATGGAGTGTTTTGAAAACTTTGGTTTGAGTGAGGAGGAGACTTCTCTTTAGGTGGCTTCACTGGAGTAGTTGAGTCAGTGCAGTCAGTGCCTCATTTTTTCTTTCCTTGGGTACAGACTGGGCCTTTAATTCCAACTAGCACCCTCCCTAATGAATAGAGAGACATGTAAAGGACCAGAGAAAAGCATTTGGGCAGCTGAGCTCGAGAAATTAAATCCGTTCCATTGGTCATTTGATGAGCACTGGTTGGGTGCCCGTGACATGTCAGGCTATCACTTTGCACTCACGCCTCCAGGTACATCCTTTAGTGATGGTGGGTCAGGAATATCATTTCATTTACCAAAGACAGAATATATTTTCCTTTATTTAAGGATGATCTTGGGGGGCGTGTAGTGCTTTCTTTTTCATTTATTTATTTATTGAAGTATAGCTGATTTACAATGTTGTTACAATCTCTGCTGTACAGCAGAGTGACTCAGTTATACACGTACAGACATTCTTTTTTTAAATATTCTTTTCCATTATGGCTTATCACAGGATATTGAATATAGTTCCCTGAGCTGTCCATTAGGACCTTGTTGTTTATCCCTTCTAAAGTAACAGTTTGCATCAACCAACCCCAAACTCCCCGTCCACCCTCTCCCTCCCCCACTCCCATGTGTGTAGTGATTTCTGGAAGAGTCATTTGGATAATTCTTTTAATTCATTCATGTATTGAGTTGTGAGCATGACACTGCATTGTTAACAACTGCTTCTGGGACTCCAGGTGGTATTAGGATGGAATTAATTTACCTCAGTTGCTGGACTACCTTTTATGCAATTAAGCTTTTTATTCACAAAGGTCATGGCAGGATTAGGAAAGCAGAATTATTCCCTTTTTAGAGAGGAAAATTGAGGTTTGCCTGGAGAGATGAGTAACTTACTGACAGTAACAAATCAAGGAGATGGCAACAACCTGTTTCCTTGACCTAACTTATACTGCCTATGTCTCTCCTGACCCTTCAGTCTAATGACCCTGCTGTACAATCAAGGTAAAATTCGTGAGGTATCACAGAACTATAGAAAAGAAAGTCTATAGGGGCTTCCCTGGTGGCGCAGTGGTTGGGAGGCCACCTGCCGATGCAGGGGACACAGGTTCATGCCCCCGTCTGGGAGGATCCCACATGCTGCGGGGCGGCTGGGCCCGTGAGCCATGGCCGCTGAGCCTGCACGTCCGGAGCCTGTGCTCCGCAACGGGAGAGGCCACAACAGTGAGGGGCCTGCGTACCGCAAAGAAAAAAAAAAGAAAGTCTATCGATATTATGTGTCCATTTGTAATGAAACTTGAGCTTTTTGTATCTATTAGTTTGAGTTCAGTAAGTGCTCAAAAGTCTTTCCAGGCATGGATGTGGCCTAAGTTGTTCTGTTTCTTGATTCCTGACAAGTTACTGGAAGGCATTGTAATTCTGTTGCTATAAGGAGAACAGAAGTTGTGATCTCACTGCCTGAGAGAATTTGCAAGACGTACGTGATATTTAGGCCAGATGATTATGTAAGGCAGAAAGAAAAGCCAAATGACAGTCTATCCTTGTGGCTCTGTGCTGGCCAGTGCCTCCAAAACAGGAAGTGGAGATCTGTGAGTCATTCAAGGGAGGGTGGTGGTGAGAAAGTCCTTCCAGAGCAGTCATGCTCTAAACAGCCACAACTGCTTCCCCAACATCATCGGGGCTAATTACCAGCAGGCAACTGGGGGGTTTTCTTGGACCGACTACCTGGTTTGAGCTGGGGGTAGCAGCACCGCCAGTGTGTGACAGGCCGGAGTCTGCCTTGTACGTTGTCAGGGGACAGTGGTTTGGGCACATGGTGGAGCAGGGGCTCTGGGGCCACACTCCCTTCCTTAGCTTGGTGATCTTGGGTGGATGATGCAGCCTGTGGCTGGGCCCTCTTAATGCTAGTGTCTCCCACACTTGCCAGATTACAAGTGTACCTGGGGTGCTTTATCAGCTGTATGAATTCTCAGACTCTACTGGAGATTTTGATTCAGTAGGTCTGGGCTGGGGGCTGGGAATTTGTACAATTGTCAAGCAACTCAGGTGATTATGATCATGCTAATTGGGGATACCGCTTTATGCGTCATGAATGGTGCCTCTACTGGGCAACGTTCAGAACCAAAAGAGTTCAGGTGAGCCTTGAACTTGCACTTGAATATCACCACCTACATGGAAAGGTGAGAGGGACTTGAAGATGTGCTTACAGACAGCATGGAGTCTGCTGCCCATTTACTTTCTTACCTGCAGCCATGATTCATAGGGATGTCTTCAAGTCCCCAGGAAAGTTTGTTGTTATAAGTGTTCCGTTGTCCGCAGTGGAGGCTTAGTAAATGTTTACTGGTGATGGCAGTGACAACTCATTGCCCTGCAGGCTTTACTTTGTCCCTTTTGTAGAAAGCCCTATGCTGAAAGTGAACCCAGAAACTTTGTGGAAATCAGGTGCCTGAGGACACCTGGGAATCTGGGGAGCCTGTTTGGTGGATAGTTTCCAAATCCAACACCTGCTGTTGGGGAGGACTCCCTTTTCTTAACCTAGTAACTCATGAGCTCTTAGGAAGCAGGAGATGGGGCATTAGGAATGCGGAGCAGGAAGCGTATACTTATTGGTAAAATAGAATTATGTGTGCTAATGAGTTTTGGAAATTACCCTAATTGTATTTGGTGCTGATGCACGTTTTTCTTCTCTACTGAAATTTCAACTCAAGAAACATTAGTGAGGAATCGGTCACAGCCAAAGAGCTGTGCAAGGATTTGCAATGATACAAGAGTAAGTCATTCAATAAAGATGCAGACGTAGAGAATGGACTTGAGGACACGGGGAGGGGGAAGGGTAAGCTGGGACGAAGAGAGTGGCATGGACATATATACACTACCAAATGTAAAATAGATAGCTAGTGGGAAGCTGCCGCACAGCACAGGGAGATCAGCTCGGTGCTTTGTGTCCACCTAGAGGGGTGGGATAGGGAGGGTGGGAGGGAGATGCAAGAGGGAGGAGATATGGGGATATATGTATATGTATAGCTGATTCACTTTGTTATAAAGCAGAAACTAACACACCATTGTAAAGCCATTGTACTCCAATAAAGATGTTAAAAAAAAAGCACCCCTATGAACTTAAAAAAAAAAAAAAGAGTAAATCATTCAAATCCCTGCTATCAAGCCTGATAGAAAAAGCAGACATCCCAACACCTACTATACTAGAGGCAGGAGATGAGTCCCGAATAGATGGGAATAAAAAGAAAGGCGTGATTCATTCTCAGAGTGTTTTTTTTTTTTAACATCTTTATTGCAGTATAATTGCTTCACCATGGTGTGTTAGTTTCTGCTTTATAACAAAGTGAATCAGTTATACATATACATATGTTCCCATATGTCTTCCCTCTTGCATCTCCCTCCCTCCCACCCTCCCTTATCCCACCCCTCTAGGTGGTCACAAAGCACCGAGCTGATCTCCCTGTGCTATGCGGCTGCTTCCCACTAGCTATCTATTTTACGTTTGGTAGTGTATATATGTCCGTGCCACTCTCACTTTGTCACAGCTTACCCTTCCCCCTCCCCATATCCTCAAGTCCATGCTCTAGTAGGTCTCTCAGAGTGTTTTTGTTCTTACACTTCCTTTCACTGACAGATTTTGTATTTGGTGGGATAAATAATACTAAAACACATGACAAAAATGACACCTGATTGCTAGTGTGTTTCTTTGTCCGCATCTAGGGAACATATGAGATTTTCCCTTTCCGGCTCTTTCAGGATATTGTTAGACTAGAGGAACTCATGGTGATCTGTACTCCATGCTTCTCATTCATTTCACAGGAACTTTGGTATCAGTACGTGAACTGGAGGGAATGTAAATCACATGAGTTCCGTTTTAGGTACCCCATGTGATTGCGTGGAGCCTTTTTGCAGACTTAGTGCATTAACTCTTGTAGGCATTTGGCCTCCATGTGACTGCTAAACCCTTTCCACAGCTGGGCTTTATTTGCCCATGTGAAAATCACTGATTAGATCAACTTTAAGACACATATACTCCAGGTAGTTATACGTGCAGCAACTTCTCTCAGCTAAAGAGGATTTACCGGATAGCCATCTGCAGCCAGAACTTGGAGAGATCCTTCACCCAGTGTCATCTGGCATTAACACTGTTGGTTCCAACTGGAGTTCCATGGCGGTGGGAGCTGTCAGACCGTAAACCCCACACGAGCAAGGACTTTTACCCAGTGGTGCATCTCCAGTGTCTAGAAAAGTGTTGATCTCATAGCAGGTGCTCAACAAATATGAATAAATGAATGAACGAATCCCCCAAGCAAGGATCTGATAGACATTTTCTTTTCTCTTCCAGTTCATATCAGGTGTTAGTGCTTCCCCTGGCCCTCCAAAGCACATTTGTTTGTGATTCTGAAGAGGCTGCCTCATTCTTTAGCAATGCTTCTGGTGCTGATGGATATGTGACGGCAGAACTGCTGGCCAAGGATGTTCCCGATGATGCCATAGAGATATCTATTGGAGACAGGCTGTACTATGGGAAATATTATAATGCACCCTTGAAAATAGGGAATGATTACTGCATTATATTACGAATCACAAGTGAATGGAATAAGGTATATTTCTTTAAAAACTCTTGTGAATTCTATATTTTCCTCTTCATGTGAAATTTAAATATCTGAACATTTGTTTTCCCAATATTTGAGATGAACACTGCTTGTAAGAACAATAAGAATGTGTTGAATCTTTTCACTTTAAAGAGGATGAGCAGGTGAAACCTTTTTGGAGGTTGATGTTCTGAACTTGCTGGGGGACCTGTTTGGACTGAACTAGTTTGGGTTCTTCTTCTTAAGCTTCAAGAATGCCCTCATCCTATTACACTGCTGAAGCCTGAGTTGGAGAGGAACATCTAGATCTTTCTGTCACTTCCCCATACTCCTGCCAGACTGCTGCCTCTCCTCATTCTCCAGGAAGCCAGAAGGAAGGGCAGGTTAAGCTCAGCACTATTTTCTGGCTCTATTTTCTGCTTCCGTTATTTCCTTGGCTATTGCGTAAGCCTCACTCTCCTGTCTCCATCCTTAGAAAGGCTATGTTTTTCCAGTGCTGGTTCTTTCTTGAGACATAAAACGGTATATTAATTACAGAATGAATAGATGGGGACTTCCCTGGAGGTCCAGTGGTTAAGACTCCATGCTTCCAATGCAAGGGGGTGTGGGTTTGATCCCTGGTCAGGGAACTGAGATCCCATCTACCATGTGGTGTGGCCAAAAAAAAAGAATGAATAAATATAATGAGCTGGACAAGCAGAATAGCAAGAGCTGGATGGGTCAGTCAGGGGTGGAAGATCTGGAATAAACATTGTGATGGTTGCCCTAGGAGGACTCCAGGTTTGGTATCAATTCATATCGGTTGGTAATGGAAACTAGAAAAAATAATATTAATAGAAACATCTCTTGACTGATGAATTTGAGCCATCTTGCATGTAAGGTTCACCACGTATTTAAAACTGAAACACGCAATTAAATTCTGTATAGGACACAAGTGAAATGCACCATTATGATGCTTGATATAAAACTAAGAATATGTCCAAGTAGCGAAAAGTTCTGGTGGTGTTTTGTGGCAATTATGTAGGGGTTAAGAATTGGAAGACTAAAGTCCAGAATATATTGCCCTGAATTTGCTCCAAAGGTGTTTATGACTTAGACAAGGCCTCCTTGCTGGAAAATTACCCAGAGATCCTGACTTGGTGTTTCTAGACATAGACAACACTGGCAGTACCATATGTGTGCAACTCAGAGATTGCTCAGAGAGCTGCTGTCTCAGATTGCGACTTTGGTCTGGGAGGGTGTATTAGTTATCTTGGGCTGCCATTTCAAAATACCATAGACTGCATGGCTTAAACAACAGACATTTATTTCTCATAGTTCTGGAGATGGGGAAGTCCAAGATTAAGATGCAGGCTACTTTGGTTCCCCGGGGAGGACCCTCTTCCTGGCTTGCAGACAGCTGCCTTCTTGCTGTGTCCTCATGTGGTGGCGACTGAGTGAGCTCTGATCAGTCTTCCTCATCTTATGGACCCTGATCCCATCATGTGGGCCTTACCCTCATGACCTCATCTAAACCTAATTACATTCCAAAGGCCCCACCTCCAAAGAACATCACATTGGGGGTTAGGGCTTCAATATGGATCAATATCAATTTGGGGCACAAAGGGAATGAAGTGGGAGGTTTCGATAAGAATTCTAGTTTATAGGGAACTTTCCTGTGATGTCATTGATGCCTCTTTTTCGTACAGCTAAGCGGAATACGTGCTTGTTCTTTGAAATAATTTATGTTTGGACTCACATATTTGAATTGCTATTACTTCCCCTGTGGGTTTCAAATATATTAGTGTTGCAGTCATATTAAAATCAGTAGTGATTTATTTATTTATTTTTCTTTTTAAAACAGCTTTACTGAGATGCGATTCATATAATTCTAAAGTGTACAATTTAATGGTTTTTAATATATTTACAAGATGGTGGTAATGCAACAATCACCATCAAATACTCATTTAGCAGTGATTATTTTTAATATTTATTTTTAATTGTGGTAAAATACACATAAAATTTACCATCTTAACAATTTTTTTTAAAATTAATTAATTAATTAATTAATTTTTGGCTGTGTTGGGTCTTCGTTTCTGTGCGAGGGCTTTCTCTAGCTGCGGCGAGCAGGGGCCACTCTTCATCACGGCGCGCGGGCCTCTCACTATCTCGGCCTCTCTTGTTGTGGAGCACAAGCTCCTGACGCACAGGCTCATCAGTTGTGGCTCACGGGCCCAGTTGCTCCGCGGCATGTGGGATCCTCCCAGACCAGGGCTCAAACCCGTGTCCCCTGCATTGGCAGGCAGACTCTCAACCACTGCGCCACCAGGGAAGCCCTTAACAATTTTTTAAACTAACAATTTGGTAGTGTCGAGTACACTTACACTGTTGAGAAACCAATCTTCAGAACTTTTCATCTTGCAAGACTGAAACTCTGTACCCATTAAACAACTCCCCATTCCTCCTCTTCTTCCCCAACTCCTGGCAACTACCCTTTTACTTTCTGTCTCTATGAATTTGACTAGTTACCTTGTGTAAGTAGAATCATACAGTATTTATCTTTTTGTGATTGTCTTATTTCATTTAGCATAATGTCTTCAAGGGTCACTCATGCTGTAGCATGTTTCAGAATTTCCTTTCTTTTTAAGGCTGAATAATATTCCATTGTATGTATGGGTAAACATTTTGTTTATCCATGATCTGTAGATGGACACTTGGGTTGCTTCCATCTTTTAGCAATTGCAAATAATTCTCCTGTGACCATGGGTGTTCAAATATCTCTTTGCGTCTCTGCTTTCACTTCTTTTGGGTATACACCCTCAAGTGGAATTGTTGGATCGTTCGGTAATTTTATTTTTTAAATTATTTTTGAAGATCCCCATACAGTTTTCCATAACCACTGCACCATTTTACACTCCCACCGACAGTGCACAAGCGTTCCATTTTCTCCACATCCTCCCCAACACTTGCTGTTTTCTGTTTTAATGATGGCTTTCCTAATGGATGTGAGGTGGCTTCACATAGTGGTTTTGGTTTGCATTTCCATAATGATTTATGATGTTGAGCATGTTTTCAGGTACTTTTGACAATTTGTATATCTTCTTTGGAGAAATGGTTATTCAAGTCCTTTGCCCATCTTTGAAGTGATTTATTTCTTTGTTGTTGAGTTTTAGGAGCTTGCTATATATTCTGGATATGTGATTTACAAATATTTTTTCCCATTATGTGAGTTACCTTTTTACTCTGTTGATAGTGTCCTTTGATGCACAAAAGTTCTTAATTTTGATGAAATCCAATTTGCCTATTTTTTCTTTTGTCGCCTATGCTTTTGGTGTCATATCTAAGAAATCATTGCCAAATGTAATTTCCCGAAGCTTTTCCTTTGTGTTTTCTTCTAAGAGTTTTAAGTCTTATATTTAGGCTTGATCCATTTTTAGTTAATTTTTTTATATGGTGTTAGGTAATGGTCCTGCTTCATTCTTTTGCATGTGGTTATCCAGTTTTCCCAGCACCATTTTTTGAAGATTTCCTTTGCCCATTGAATGGTCTAGGTACTCTTGTCAAAAGTCATTTGAGGGAATTCCCTGGCAGTCCAGTAATTAGGACTCCACGCTTCCACTGCAGGGGGCATGGGTTCGATCCCTGGTCGGGGAACTAAGATCCTGCGTGCTACGAGGCACAGCCAAAAAAAAAGTCATTTGATATATATGCAAGAGTTTATTTCTGGGCTCTCTATACTATTCCATTGGTTTGTATGTCTGTCTTTAGGCCAGTACCACACTTTTTAAAATTATTATTAATTTTTATTGGAGTACAGTGAATTTACAATGTTGTGTTAGTTTCTGCTGTACAGCAAAGTGAGTCAGTTACACATATACATATATGCACTCCTTTTTAGGTTCCTTTCCCATATAGGTCATTACAGAGTATTGAGTAGAGTTCCCTGTGCTATATACTAGGTTCTTAGTACCACACCGTTTTGATTACTGTAGCTTTGTAAATCAGGAAGTGTGAGTTTTCCAGTTCTTTTTGTTTTTCCTTCTGTATATCTGTCCCAATAAACATCATTACCATGTTCCAAGTTGTCAAGACAGAAATCTAGGAATAATTCTTGTCTCCTCCCTTTTTTCTTATCTTCTTGTGAGTCCATCATTAAATTGTGTCAATTCTATCACATTAATGCCATTTAAGATCATCCTTTCCTCTCTTTCATTAACACTGTTTAGCTTTTGACATCTCTTGTCTGAACATCAATTTTCTAACTCATTTTCTTGTCTCTTATTCTACCTATCTCCTTGCTCCATACTACTGCCATCATGTATTTCATAAAATGCACATCTGATCAAGGCACTCCATTTTAATGAACTCCCTTCTTCATCTTGCCATTTCAATTTCTCTCTTTTAATACACTCAGTTCCCTAGTAACTATCTTGCTGTTTGAGGTCCTTTTTCTTCCTCAGTGACTTGAACTATACCCTTCACTGTTTACTCTTGCATATTATCTTTTATTTTAATCAATTAATTATTTAATTAACATCTTTATTGGAGTATAATTGCTTTACAATGGTGTGTTAGTTTCTGGTTTATAACAAAGTGAATCAGTTATACATATACATATATCCCCATATCTCCTCCTTCTTGCGTATCCCTCCCACCCTCCCTATTCCACCCCTCTAGGTGGTCACAAAGCACCGAGCTCATGTCCCTGTGCTATGTGGCTGCTTCCCACTAGCTCTGTTTTACATTTGGTAGTGTATATATGTCCATGCCACGCTCTCACTTTGTCCCAGTTTACCCTTCCCCCTCCCCATGTCCTCAAGTCCATTCTCTATGTCTGCGTCTTTTTTCATGTCCTGCACCTAGGTTCTTCAGAACCTTTTTTTTTTTTTTTTTAGATTCCATATATAAGTGTTAGCATACGGTATTTGTTTTTCTCTTTCTGACTTACTTCACTCTGTATGACAGCTCCATCCACCTCACTACAAATAACTCAATTTCGTTGCTTTTTATGGCTGAGTAATATTCCATTGTATATATGTGCCACATCTTCTTTATCCATTCATCTGTCGATGGACACTTAGGTTGCTTCCATGTCCTGGCTATTGTAAATAGAGCTGCAGTGAACATTGTGGTACATGACTCTTTTTGAATTATGGTATTTTCAGGGTATATGCCCAGTAGTGGGATTGCTGGGTCATATGGTAGTTCTGTTTTTAGTTTTCTTTTTTTTTAGTGCTACACGGGCCTCTCACTGCTGTGGCCTCTCCCGTTGTGCAGCACAGGCTCCGGACACGCAGGCCCAGCGGCCATGGCTCACAGGCCCAGCCACTCCGCAGCATGTGGGATCTTCCCAGACCGGGGCACAAACCCATGTCCCCTGCATTGGCAGGCAGACTCTCAACCACTGCGCCACCAGGGAAGCCCTATTTTTAGTTTTTTAAGGAACCTCCATACTGTTCTCTATAGTGGCTGTATCAATTTACATTCCCACCAACAGTGCAAGAGGGTTCCCTTTTCTCCACATCCTCTCCAGCATTTATTGTTTGTAGATTTTTTGATGATGGCCATTCTGACCGGTGTGAGGTGATACCTCATTGTAGTTTTAATTTGCATTTCTCTAATGATTAGTGATGTTGAGCATCCTTTCATGTGTTTGTTGGCAATCTGTATATCTTCTTTGGAGAAATGTCTATTTAGGTCTTCTGCCCATTTTTGCGTTGGGTTGTTTGTTTTTTTTGGTATCGAGCTGTAGGAAGTGCTTGTATATTTTGGAGATTAATCCTTTGTCAGTTACTTCATTTGCAAATATTTTCTCCCATTCTGAGGGTTGTCTTTTCCTCTTGTTTATAGTTTCCTTTGCTGTGCAAAAGCTTTTAAGTTTCATTAGGTCCCATTTGTTTATTTTTGTTTTTATTTCCATTTCTCTAGGAGGTGGGTCAAAAAGAATCTTGCTGTGATTTATGTCATAGAGTGTTCTGCCTATGTTTTCCTCTAAGAGTTTGATAGTTTCTGGCCTTACATTTAGGTCTTTAATCCATTTTGAGCTTATTTTTGTGTATGGTGTTAGGGAGTGATCTAATCTCATACTTTTACATGTACCTGTCCAATTTTCCCAGCACCACTTATTGAAGAGGCTGTCCTTTCTCCACTGTATATTCCTGCCACCTTTATCAAAGATAAGGTGACCATATGTGCATGGGTTTATCTCTGGGCTTTCTATCCTATTCCATTGATCTATCTTTCTGTTTTTGTGCCAGTACCATACTGTCTTGATTACTGTAGCTTTGTAGTATAGTCTGAAGTCAGGCAGCCTGATTCCTCCAGCTCCATTTTTTGTTCTCAAGATTGCTTTGCTATTTGGGGTTTTTTTGTGTTTCCATACAAATTGTGAAATTTTTTGTTCTAGTTCTGTGAAAAATGCCATTGGTAGTCTGATAGGGATTGCATTGAATCTGTAGATTGCTTTGGGTAGTATAGTCATTTTCACAATGTTGATTCTTCCAATCCAAGAACATGGTATATCTCTCTATCTGTTTGTATCATCTTTAATTTCTTTCATCAGTGTCTTATAATTTTCTGCATACAGGTCTTTTGTCTCCTTAGAGAGGTTTATTCCTAGGTATTTTATTCTTTTTGTTGCAGTGGTAAATGGGAGTGTTTCCTTAATTTCTCCTTCAGATTTTTATCATTAGTGTATAGGAATTGCATGTTATCTTTTATTAAATGCACTTGATGCACTAAGCATCAAGGCAAAATTTAGTCACATTCAAAACCTTGTGGCCATTTTAAGCTTTTCCCAGAATTTATCAGTGTAAATATAGTTTTTCAATTTTTAATAAAATAAACCCAGAATGACTAAGGTTGTCACTTGAAAGAGAATTACTTAATGAAGTTGAAGGGATCTTTCTCTAACCTCTACTATTTGGTTTCCTCTGGGGAATTTTTTGCTGACTTTTATCATAAATCACCGGTAATCCTAGCATTCCTAACAGACAAATATGCCTATAATATCAGCAGGGGAGAAAAAGAGGAGGTATTTCATTCCAATGAGTTTGTGGGCTGCTTCTGCCATGGATGAGCTTTCATACGTGTTCCTTTAGCTTTCTTCCCGGTTCTTGGCTGTGTTTTGGGTAACTGAGTTTGCCTGGTACATATCATCTAGAGAAGTGAAGTATTCGTATATACCAGGCCGTCTCATAGCCTTGCACATAACATGCATTATACTTCTTGCTGAACCTGGATGTGACCCCAGAATCCTTTTCAACATACTGTAGTTCTCCAGGCAGTCAGCGCCAGTTGCTGAGAGCTGGCAAGGGGAATGGAACTAACCACCATCCCTGCTCTTTCCTCGTAGCATGTGCTCCCTGAGATCCATTGGAAAGCTTTAGGGTCATCCATTCCTAAGGTCATCTCTGTCTCTGCTGCCCACGCCAGTCCTTTTGAACACTTGGTGATCATAGGGCTAAACTGTAAGATGTTAGAGCTAGAAGAGATTTTAAAGATCGTGTGGTCCAAAATAAGAGATAAAACCCTGCAACTTGGAGGGCCAAAGTGTGTTATTTAAACTGACATCACATCACCCAATTATATGTGTTGCTGTGTTTTCCTTTATAGGTGAGAAGAAGCTCCTGTGCAGTTTGGGCTCAGGTAAAAGGTAAAACCATTTTCTGCCTAAGACTGTTCTCCTTATTTCTCCTCTGTCCACTCTGCAGCATCAAGTGTATGTTAATGAGATTTCTTTTTAAATTGTCACAGGTGACAAAAACACATCTCAGACTAGCCTACAAAAAAACATAGCTGAAAAGGATGAGGGGTGGGAACTTATGGAATTAGAACCAGAGTGGCATCACCAGGCCTCCAGAAACTGGGACTTGGGACTCAACACCATAAGTAGGACTGTCCCTTTCTATCTGTCTGTATCTCCTCTCTAAGTGTGAGTTGGCCTCATTTTCTTCTACTATAAGCTTTGTGGTAGTGGTGGTGGGGGAGGGAACCAGCTGCCCCAGCTTAGCCACTTCAGTGGGAACAGACAGTTTTTCAATTCAGGGAGTCTCTTCTCCTAGCTAAGTGACTAGCCTTTGGATGAATCACTATTAAGAGGAGATAGGGTAGTATGATTAGCCTACCTTGGGTTTGGGGCTTACTGGTATGGCTGGTTGCGGGCAGATCAATGTGATCAGCAACCTCACCAGGGTTGCATTGAGAGGGGGACATGATCCCCATCAGGAAGAGGCACAGAAAACCATGTTGGCAGACCAAAACAAAGAGCCACAAGCAGTCCACTACTTTCAACCATTTGGCTACTTAGCAAGTGCACATACATACACATACACTATTTAGAAAAACACCCTCCATTAAGAAAGTGAAATTATCCTCCATACAACCACATATAGAACCCAAGTAGAAGACAGCTCAAAGGTGGGTCTCTTACTGAATCCAGCTCCAAGACCAGGGTTCCTGGGGCTGATCTGTCCCTCTTGATCTAATTAATCTAGATGCGCTTCTCATGATCTGTTAGCAATCTATGATTAATGGCAAACTTAACCATTCGCAAACCACAGTATATAATATGAAAGGGAAAGGTGGATAATCACAATAAGTACGTTCATTTAGAAAGGAAGAAAAGATAAAGAACCGTGCAGTGGCCAGGGGGCCCATAACAAGACCACATCCTGCTGGACAGGAAAAGCAAGCATCTCCTGCCCTGGCAGCAGAATGGGTCACTTGGTCAGTTAGTTTGGCTGCCTCGGGCTCTGCCTGATGGGAGACCAGCCTTGTCCCTTTCCTCCAGAGCCTTCCCTAAGAGATGCAGAGAGAAGGAGCCCCACTGAGTGCCTACAACTTAAACCTTCTGCTTCATGGGGCAGTTATCTGGGTGGTGGAGTTGCCTTAGAGATTGAGCAATCACAGGTCCTTGTTTGCCAGGCTGGGGTTTCCCTGGCAGTACATTTCTCTAAACCAGCAGGCAGCCAGCCACTGGATTTGATTCATAAGAATTCCATTAGTTTGTAGCTAATACCAGAAATCTTGTCAAGTTTATGACCTTTTGAGTCTGGAACTTTTCCTTGTGGTTCATGAATCCTAGCAACAGCCTGAGGAATTCTGCTCTTAGCCCAGAGTATCGGTTTAACTCCTTACATCCTGTCCCTCACCTCAGAGCATCATAAAACAATAGGCTGGGGTGCTTCCAGGAGGGTTCCAGTGGATGGTGCCTTACAATTGGGGGATTTGTTACCCTGTCTGTTGAGGGTACCTAGCAGGAAATGTTTGGGAGGAACCTGGAGAAATAAGCTTCCTTCGTTTTCAGCTTATCCCCTAATCTCATTTCCCATGTCTTTATCTCTACTCACACCAACTTCAACAAGGGTAGGGGGCATGGATTTTCAACTGGGCAAGGCACATTACCTGACTGTCAGCCATCTTGGATTGCAGATTGCCAGGCAGCAAGGGCCTCTCTCTCTTTTTTCAATTTTCTTGAGAAAATAATTTACATATAACGTTGTGTGAGTTTAAGGTGTACAATGTGATGATTTGATTCATGTACTTGTTGCAAAATGATTACCGCAGTAAGGTTAGTTAATACCTCCATTACCTCACATAATCACCATATATATACGTAATCCATGTATATAGGTATATGTATATATTTATATATATAATTTGTGTATATGTATGTGTGAATATTTAAGATCTACTCTCCTAATATCTTTCAAGTGTGCAATACAGTACTGTTAACTACAGTCAACATGCTGTACATTAGAATATGTCCCAGGACTTAATTATCTTACAACTGGAAGTTTGTACCCTTTGACCATCATCTCCGTTTCCCCCACCCCCAGCCCCTGGCAACCACCGTTCTATTCTCTATTTCTATGAATTCAGCTTTTTTAGATTCCATGTATAAGTGAGATCATTCCGTATTTGTCTTTCTCTGTCTGACTTATTTCACTTAGCATCATAAGTGAGGGCCTCTTTTTTTTTTTTTGCATTTTCTCTCTCTATATATTTAACATCTTTATTGGAGTATAATTGCTTTACAATGGTGTGTTAGTTTCTGCTTTATAACAAAGTGAATCAGCTATACATATACATATATCCCCATATCTCCCCCCTCTTGCGTCTCCCTCCCACCCTCCCTATCCCAGCCCTCTAGGTGGTCACAAAGCACCAAGCTGATCTCCCTGTGCTATGCGGCTGCTTCCCACTAGCTATCTATTTTACGTTTGGTAGTATATATATGTCCATGAGTGAGGGCCTCTCTTAACAAAGATGTGCGCTCTTACATTTCTGCGTGCAGATAGACTAAGCCCCCTTTCTTAGAATTGAATGATGGCCACAAAAAACAATCATGCATTCCGACATCTGGAAATCTTTCTGCCAATCCATTCCCTGAAGCTTTAAGGGCGGGCTGGAGTTCCTACAGGAAAAGAGGTGCTTTTACCAGAAGAATGGAGATGTGCAAGCATCATGGACAGGCACAGATACAATAGCTTCCAGAATCCACTGCTTTCAGCAGCTGTTCAGTGTGATTAGCAAACTCAAACTGGGTAGAAGAAATGGCCAAAGAGCTGGCTACAGTCATTCTACTGTGATTAAGTTAACAGGAAGGATTTTGCTTTGGAAATAGCTAAGTGGCTTTTGGCAGCACTTTTTCCCCCTCATGTTGAAAGAGACTGAACCTTTGAATTCAAGCTACTGGAAAGAGCTGAGATAATAGAAAACCCAGTTATGTTGAAATTTTGAAGGCAGCTCTAGCAGATATACGTCTACATACAAAATGGGTTGTGCGCTCACCTGGCAGTGTCCTTTTGCAAAAATTTTGGAGCCTGCCATTTCAGAAAGTAATTTGGAGAGAACTAGAATCCAAATAAGTCCTCAAATTGTTTCAGTTTCACTCATGCCAAGCAACAGCCCCACTCTTGCCTTTGCTCTCTGATGAATTATGCTATTTACCTTTTGCACATTGCCCCTAAAAGAGCTTTGTGATGACTCTCAGGGAGCCAGCAGTCGGTTTGATGGGAAGTGCAGAGGCCTGGGCTTCTTTGCCCGAGTCCTGCTACTAATCAGCTGAGTGTCTTGGAAATTATATTTAACTTGGCTGGTTCTCTGTTGCCTTCCTCCAAGATCTCTGCGATCCCTTCCAGCCCACAAAGTACTATGATTCTGTGCTTTCTTGAGTCACAGAGCAAGGTCATTTGATATATGTGAGATGATGATAAACTGTAATCAGGGAACATCCTTTAGTCATGGGCATGAAAGCTCTGAGTCATTAGTGACTACTCCTCTTTCCCATTTAGCCCACATTTTGCACTTGGGCAGACCTCTCTGATTGTCATTTCTGTGTTCACTCCCTGAGCAGAGGCCTTTGGATGACTGGCCAAGCCTCTTTCTCATCTCCCATCACAGTGTTCAGGCTTCCCTCTTCACTCAAGCCTACACTACCCCCTGACATGTTCCCTCCACAGTTCTCCAGTATTTCTTTTTCTGCTTTCCAAGGCCTCAGTTGGACACCAATGTACCCTCCTGATTGCATCTCTCATTCTTCTCCATTCAAACCGATGTGGCAGCTCTTCTCTGGATATGGCCCTTGCTTTCTCTCCTTAATGTCTTGCTCATACGATTATGTACTTACTTCCACCTGGATTGCCCTATAACCTTCCTGTAATTTCTGTTTATTACAACCCCTCCTGTTCTTCAAGATTGAAATCAAATGCCATCTCCTCCTTGACACTTTTTAAAATTTCCTCAACAGGGCAGGATCTCTCTCCCTCCCTCTCTTTAGCCATTCTGCCATACTTTTGAGTCACTGGTATACTTGTTTTTTCTTACTAGATTTCATACGCTTGAGAGAGAGCATTTGAAGGGCTGGAGCAGTGCCTGGCACACAGTAGGTGCTCAGTCAGAATTTATTGAATTGAGTTGAATGATTACTGGGGAACCAACAGTACAGTCTGGTGAGAAAAGAAGCATAGTGGGTACAATACTTATCAAATAAGCCAGAGAAGATTAACGTCAGGGTATAAGCTTAGTGTGTACATTATCTATGAATATGCTATGTGCATGCATGTATACACATATACACTCACACTCATTTCATTTTATTTTTTTAAACATCTTTATTGGAGTTTAATTGCTTTACAATGTTGTGTTAGTTTCTGCTATATAACAAAGTGAATCAGCTATATGTGTACATATATCCCCATATCCCCTCCCTCTTGCGTCTCCCTCCTACCCTCCTTATCCCACCCCTCTAGGTGGTCACAAAGCACTGAGCTGATCTCCCTGTGTGATGCAGCTGTTTCCCACTAGCTATCTATTTTACATTTGGTAGTGTATATATGTCAATGCTACTCTCTCACTTCGTCCCAGCTTACCCTTCCCCCTCCCCATGTCCTCAAGTCCATTCTCTATGTCTGCATCTTTATTTCTGTCCTGCACCTAGGTTCTTCAGAACCTTTTTTTTTTTTTTAGATTCCATATATATGTGTTAGCATACGGTATTTGTTTTTCTCTTTCTGACTTACTTCACTCTGTATGACAGACTCTAGGTCCATCCACCTCACTACAAATAACTCAATTTCATTTCTTTTTATGGCTGAGTAATATTCCATTGTGTATATGTGCCACATCTTCTTTATCCATTCATCTGTTGAT